TGTGTGTGTGTTAGGGTCTAATCCTGGTGTTTCCTGCTGGATCCTATAGTTTATCGGGATGGACTTTCGGGAAGTCCATCCATTCGGCCAGAGCCTGGACGGTGTAGCAGCCTGGCATCGCCCTCTCGCTCCCTGGGCTTCTTCACGTCGGCCTTTTGCAGTCTCTTCAAAGCTCCCTGCCTCTTCCCACTCTAGTCATTGGCACGGGGTTGCTTTTTTTTTTCTTTCTATGTCATGTTCCTAATTCTTCTGCCGGCACTCATTTCCGAGGCTATGTTCTTACAGAAGTCATTCCCAATCTGACCTGTGCCACAGCGGGCGGCCTGGGTTCCACCTGCTTCACCCGCTCTCTGCTCCCTGTGCCCCCTAGCAGCTATTGTATCCATTTCAATTAAGGAATAATAATTTCAAAGAAGTTAAGATTTGATTAATTTATAATAATAATGGTTTAACGTATTCCTTCCACTGGATTATAAGTTCATAAAAGTGGAGGGTGTTTAACCCGTGTATTTTTGCCTTTTAGCACAGTGCCAAGCACATGATCAATAATAAAAGTTTACTGAACAAGAGGAGAGGTTAATAGAAACTTAAAATTCAAAGAATTTACAAATATAGTAATTTTAACAGTTTTACCAATTTACTTCTTTTTAATATAACATTCTGATATCCAGTGACTCCTCTTAGAATTGTTTTAATTGCCAAGTTTTGCTACAAATATATGCAAATCTAACCTGTCCACATGCAAATGGCCAAGCTGATGCTCTACCCTGACATACATGTGCACCTGTGCATGCACCATGGCTGCTCATCTATTCCTAAACCGTGTACTTGGAGACAGTAGAAGTGCTTTCGTAGGTGAAAGAGTAACTAGTAGTTGTTGGCAAGATATTTGGCAGCAACTCCTGTGATAGAAAGAAGGAGCATGCGTGGCCCTTGCCTTCAAGGCCCTAAGAGGACAGAAACTTCCCTGGATTATACTCCTAGATTTTTTCATTTTGCTGCTGTTGCTGCCACTTCTTTGAGGTTGAAATGCCATTACAAAAAGACTTCGTTCTCATTTATATTGTTAAGGTAGACAATTCATCCAAACCAGGTGTCCTCAAACGATAGCCTGCGGGCCACATGCAGCCTACCTAGTACATTTATCTGGCCTGCCAGGTGTTTTTGCCACCACTGCCTGTCCTGCTTAGCAGCCGACTTGTCCTGGGGCCCACAGTCGGGCCCTCCAATGGTCTGAGGGACAGTGAACTGGCCCCCTGTTTAAAAAGTTTGAGGACCCCTGGTAAACTATCAGTCCCTACCAGTGTCTCTGATCTTCCCTGGGCTCTCAATACCTTGTTTGTTCCCCTACAGTGTTGCTGGGCTGGCAGTGCAAGGCTGGTGGGTATCTGCTCCCCAGGGAGACTCTCTCCTGGGTAGTAGTTAGGATTAAGGTTAGGCTTAAACCTTGGAGGTGGCCCCTGAGGGTAGCTATTAGCAATTTTCATTCATTTGTTTATTTAATGATCCCAGTGACCCATTTTGCTATTAAAAAAAATAAAAATGGAATAATATTAAGTAACTTGCAAAGAGCCTGCTTCCCTAATCACTGCCCTAAACTGGGGTCTCTAACCTCCTATGCTATCCCTTTTGTTAAACAAATAAATTAAACCAAAGATCTTTAGAGAAGTTCTCAAATAATTTCCACAGAGAAAACATAAACACACCTTAGTATTTTACAAGGCATCCTCCCCTCCCTAACGTTCTCAGGATACATACATACAGCCCAGTGAATAAAACACCCTTTCATTTTAGGAAAACGTTTTAGTTATACAATATACTTTAGAATGGAAGAAGATATTTTAGATCTTACTCCCTACTCTTCATCAGCCAAAATCTTACCTTAAGCCCCCAATAAGTGAGGAGGCCCAACAAATCCAGCAGTTAATAAAATTTGCAGAAAGTGAGTTGATCTGAAGACTCAGACACAGACCTAGCGAGCTTTCTGCTCGCTCACCCATCACCTGTTCCTCATTGACTAAGCAGGAAGCCTGTACTAAAACAGAGAAAATTGTGGCAGAAAACCTTGGCATTTTCTGGTTAAGAAACAAGCCTTGACTTACATAGATAAGAAAATTCTAAATTGAAGGATAATGGTTATGTTCTTTTGATATGAAAGTTAGCTTTAAGAAAGTTATTGTACAGTAATCATATACCAGTGTAATAAAATAGTTTTTCCTGGATTCCATAGCTAATAGTAAGGATACATGAATATCTAATGCATTTACTAGAATTCAAACTTATTTACTTACATATGCCCACGAGGAGATAAAATTAAAGCAATCCCTACTTAAACAAGTTATTAAACCTGACACCACAGTACAAAGATCATAAATGAGTTCCTTATTTTTCTCTATTGAGAACATTAGCAAACACCCATTGTTAACTGCAGCCTGGGTATACGGAGCCAACAGCCCATACATAGTCTACATAGCATGAACAATGTCCATTTCAGCTTTAAATTAGCAAGAGTTCAACCGTTATTTATGACTCACACGTACAAGGCATACGGTATAGATTTAAGCAGGGGTCATTTCAGAGACTAAATCAACAGCAGAGTTGGTTAGCTGGAATTCATTAGGGATGAACAGTTTTTGGCTGATTATGCAAAATTCCTAAGGTTTTCCTATTTCTAGATCAGATTTCAACTTCACTGGGTACAATTCTTTGTGCATTAATTTTTTTTTTTATTAATGATGCTAAAAGGATTTTGGTGTTTTAAACTTTGTACACAAACCTAGCAGGCAAAATCTTTCTTAAATATATTCTAAGCTCTTGGCAAACTTTCCTCGAGAGCAAATATTAACTCCAGATAGTGTTTATTGGTTTTTATAAAGTAATCACTGTAATAGTGGCACATGACTGCTAGAGGTAAATGCTTATCTAGGCCAGGAATTAATCAAGTTTGAGCTCTTTAACAAAACCCGGTCAGAAATAATTTATTCCTTACACAGTTTACATTTTAAAATAACAGCATGATCTTCTCCTGATTTTGCTTCACACTCTAACAATGACTTCATGAAGATGTGCTTGGTCCGCCTGTGCTGTCAACACGGGAACACAGAGAAGTGAACTCTGTGTCACATAAGGCAGAAAAGGGCTGCGAGAGGCGCCATAATTGGACTTTTTGACCCACATCTCCAGGACTGGCCTAAAACTTGCAAATGGAGATTCTTCCAGTTTAAACAGTTTTTATGCTTCAATATTTATGAATCATTTTCACTACTTTCCTAAATATTAAGAAGAATCTCCTGATGGAAAACACCTGCTCTCTGTAAGGCAACCCAGCAAGAGAGTAAATGCGCATGGTGGGAGCCTGTTTGCAAGCAACCTAGGCTGCAGGAGAAACAAAAGGGGCGAAGTTTCCCGAGGGGCAGTTCCCTGCAAGTGAAGGGAGAGGCTCTTTTCAATGAGAGGCCACCACAGAACAGTGGGGTGAGAGACCCAAGACACAGACAGTGACCGGGCCACCAGACCAAAACAGAACTCTGACCCACCAACCTGCAGTGGCCACCTGGGGAAACCAACCCCTTACCCACAATAAACAATCCAGGAAGCCGGCCGGCCAGAATCAGACTTGCAGGAAGCCAGATCCTTATTCCTAGTGACAAGCCAGGAGTCGAAACAACAACTTCTATAGCGATTGGCCAAAGGCCAAGACCCGATTAAATAGCTGACAGGTCCCCCAGTTTTTGTCCTGTCTTCCAATGTAGAACCAAGCAGAGAAAGCCGACACCAATCTCACGGAGGCCTTGCTCTGGTTTGCCACCTCCAGCTTCCCTCTGCCAACAGCCCCCAACCAGGGCACCCTGAAGCCTCCCTTTATTCCCTGGGAAGCCCTCCCACTCCCCTGCCTGCCTTTGAATCTCTGCCAAAATGCAAGTGACGATGCCGACTCCCTGGCCAGAGCAAGCTCAGAATAAACAACCTTTTTCTCCTTTGGTTGGTCTTCATTTACTTCCACAGTTGACATATTCTGTTTGACTCTTTTGCTTCGAGGGACAGAGATGCACCCAGGTTGTCCTTTCCCTGCCTCTCTTCCCCTTCTGCCCTTCACCGCCCTGCTCAGGTCTCTACCAGCCTCGCTCCTGGGAATCTGTTTGTCTCTCACAATTGGCCTGAACAGGAAGGTCTGGTCCATTCACTTGCTCACCAGCTGGGAGGCAGGTGTGGCCCCTGTTCCAATCACCTACAATCATGAGATGAGATTCGTTTTCCTTAAACACAGGGCTGCTGTGGTTTTAGAGGCCAGCAGAAGCATAGACTGAAGTTCCACAGGTTTCCTCCCACCCCCACAAAAACAAGACAGACCAACAAAATAAAACCTCCCATACAGCTAAAAAAAATTGTTTGACTATCACAGTGTGAGGGAATGTCCCTAATCACAAGAATCAGTACACCAACTGGGAAAAACGTCCCTGTTCTGTCTGTTTTGGGAACGTGTGGAATTGCCTATTTTTCAAGGTAGAAATATTGTCCAAATGAAAGCTCCGAGCTCTTTGGTAAATCCCAACCAATAAAGAAATATTGATCAGTATCTAATCCTGCACCCTCTGCCAGGCTTCAGCGTGTGGCAGACTCTGCTCCCAGCTTGCTCACCCCGTCAGAGTTTCCACGTCTCCACGGGGTCCACTGTGACTCCTCTCTCTTAGGACCCGTAACTGTTTAAACAATCACGGAGTCCGGCCCCTGGCAACTGTCAGCGGCTGCATCCAGCCAGCACCCTTTCATTTCTTCACTTCTCCTTCTCTCGTTCCTCCAATCCTCTTCTTCTTCCCTTCCTCCTCCCTCCCCTCTGTCTCTCTCCCATTAAAATTTCTTCCTTCACCTGATTTTAAATTCCTAAAGAAGTAAAAACAGGAATCAGCACTTCCCCAGAACCCGAACCATCATCTCTCATCCCGCCTGCCACGTGTCACCCGCCCCTTACCCTGTCACCCGCCCCTTACCCTGTCACCCACCTTCAGGAAACAGAGAAGCCGACGTCACCAGCAGACGTCTAACCCGAAAGCCTTGGCCGGGTCTTCTTTCTCCAGCCAGCCCTGTGAACTCCAGCAAGGCCCTGGGGAGGGTCTCTTGCTCCCTAATCTATGAAAAGAGGGGATTGAAAAGATGATCATTTAGCTTCTAGCTCGGACTCAGGGTTTAAAAAGATACACAAAAGCTGGCAGCACAAAAGGTTGAGGGACCCTATAATTTTTCGTCTGGCCCAGGACATTGTTGTGAGTGATGGGTGGTTGCTGTTATAATTTCACTGGATAATAAAGACCTAAGGTCCTGGGCAAACTAACACATTTGGTCACCTTCTCTGTGGACTATACTCAAAGAACATCAGGTGCTAACAGATAAAGGCCGTGCACGTCTCACCACACGAGTGACTCAGTCACAGACTGTGCCTCATGTGAAAACATTCTTATGCAAGCAAAGTTATTGGGCGGTGCCTGTGGCTCAAGGAGTAGGGCACCGGCCCCACATACCGGAGGTGGTGGGTTCAAACCCAGCCCTGGCCAAAAACTGCAAAAAAAAAAAAGGAAAGTTATTTATATAGTTTACACTGTTCGTGGTCCATACTTTAAACGTAACACCTTATATTCACAATGATTTATAATTTGCAAGATCTTTCTGTGTTAGCTTCCTCTTACCATGATTTCATAATGTTCAGATTGCTAGTACTTTAAGAAAATTTAGTAATTTTTCCAAAATTATGTAACTAATTAGTTCATCTCCCACGTTCTACCTTTGCAAAACAGAGGACATACTACATCTAGCAAGGGATTTTGAGACAAACAGGATCACATAGGCAGGTCACCGAACACAGTGACCCAGACGTGTGGGACATGCAAGAACAGTGTCCTCTCTTCATTCCCCATCTCGAATGGGACGTATTCAAACTATCAGGTGTAACTCCAATCAAAAGGAAATATAAAAATTATCAATGTATCATGTTTATGCTTTCCTTCCCAAGAATTATACTTTAAGTAAACTGCGGTTTTAGTAGTATGTCAAGAATAAGTTGAAATTAGCATTAATGCCACTGACTGTGGTTGCCTGTTCTAACGAGAGTGGAGAGGACGTTGAAACTGGCATTCACGGCTTCTGACCATGTCCGAGTCAGTTGAAATTAGCATACACTACTCAGAAGTATGAGGTGCAGATGTGCCTGGATTTACAAATAGAATGACTTGTCCAGGAACACAGTGGGAGCTTGCAACGTTGCTACTGCCAGGAGGAATTGGATGTTAGAGCTAGAAATACACTGTGAAGACTCCAAAAAAGACCACGTCCACAGATGACCAGGAAGGACCTTGTCCCTCATGCTCCTGAAAAGATAAACAGAAGAGAAAAACAAAGGGAGGAGGGAGAGGAGCTGGGGAAGGACAGCCTGCGTGGCCAGGAAGGGTTTTCACAGCTGTCGGAAACCCACCATCTGACCACACATGTGTACACACACACCCCACACATGCACACACACACCCCAAACATCTGTAACTGGCCACCTCCCATCCTCACACCATGGCTGCGAACTGAGGATTTTAAGGTTTCTCTGGGGTCCTCTTGGTTAGGAAGGGCCCTATTCAATCAGTTAGGGGATTAGGATTTATTTTTTATTTCTCCGTGGATAACTTATTCTTGTCTGGACCTTCGCCTGGAAGTAGAGAAAGCTTCTAGGAGAATGCCTGCTGCCACAGTGCCCACTCCTGTGGCTTCTACAGGTAGAAGTCCAGGACCAGAAATAATCTGGCAATACAAAAGTGTCTTACGGCATCTGACAGCAAGAGTATGTGGGTCACTGGGCAGAAATAAGGCTTGAAATGTAGAGAGTCAGAAGTCAGATTATGACAAATTCCTCTCATTATCAACCATGTAAAATTCATGGAAAGGATACAATTTCCATTAATGCCTATTGAAAACGGAAGAATATAATCAATAATGCCGTATATGCAATAATGCATGTGCCACACACCTGTTTCTGTACTTTAGCAAGATGAACTTTATCCAAATACCTGTGTTTACGGGGCATAAACCTGTACAGTGAGCGCACATCTGTGCACAGTTATAGATTTTATGGGTTTCAACTATCAAGAATTTAAATAAATTTTAATCACCTATGCTAAAAGAAGATTGAGTTATCCTTCTTTCTCTCTTTTCTCTGTAAAATGTTGCAAAGTGTTGACCAGTAAAGAAGTATGTCATAGATCATATAGCCAAAAATGTAGGCATTAACCTATTCTAAAGACATGCTAAGCAGTTAATGAAAATATTATAAACTCTATATAGATTTTGTGATATTTGCACTACTTTGTAGCATCTTAAAATTTGATTTCTTCTCTCATTCTAAATAAACATTTACTTTCTTTTTGTCAGTAACTTTTATTCTTTTGCTTGAAGACAGCCTGAAAAATTGTATAGTCTTCTGCTTAGAAATCTGGGCTCTCCCCTCATCTCCATTATTCCACTTAAGACTCTACACAATCCAAATACGGGTGGAAAAAGGCTAATAAATTTAAATGTAAAACTGTTCAAGGAGTTACTATCTTCTGGTCAGACTTTGCAGTACCTCATTTTCTGGATGATACTGGGATTGTTTTCAGTGTCTGGCTTGAGTAAGAGACCAAGAAGGAACGAAATCAGAGCAAAAACTCTGTGTGTGGCTCTGTGGGGAAGGCTACAGGGGCCCGAGGGCAAACTGCCACCTTCCCGCAGCTTCATCAAAGTTGGAGAGGTTTGGGGGGCAGGGGAGGGCAGTCTCTCAGTCCATCTGGTAACATCAGCACATAAGCTCTGGGCTCCGTTGTCACCACAGCAGGAGCAATACCACCACTTACTCAGCTCCAGTATGTCCCTGGGCAGCCCATTCTTGCCCCGTCTTATTACTGCTTGATCTCCTTCTCTGCAAGGTGTCCAGATCACCCTCCCAGGGCACTTTCTCCAGCTGGGAAAGGTGGGAGAAAAAGAGATGAAGGTGCTCATCCCACATCACACTACTGCCCCTGTCCTGGCTCCCATCTCAAAGACATTGTATTAGTGAGGGTTCTCCAGGGAAACAGAACCAATAAGATTTATACACACACACACACACACAAAAGAGATTTACCCTAAGGGATTGTCTCATGTGATCATGAAGATTGAGAAGTCTCAAGGTCTATGGTCCAAAAGCTGGAGAACCAGGAAAGCTGATGGTTCAGGTCTGAGTCCAAATCCATAAGCCTGAGAGCCAGGAAAGCTAATGGTAATGGACAGTGTGTTTGTGCCCTCCAAAACTTCACAGTGTGAAGCCCTAACAACCAAGGGATGGTCTTAGGAGTTGGGGGCCTTTAGGACATAATTAGGTTTAGATGAGGTCATGAGGGTAAATTCTCCACGATGGGATTATTGTCCTTATTAGAAGCCTTCAAATCTTTGTCATGTGAGGGTTGGGTGAGAAAGTGACTGTCTACAAACCAGGAAGCAGCCCTCATCACAAACTATATCTGCCAGCACTTGGCTCCTAGACTTTAGAGCCTCCAGAAGTGCAAATAGTAACTTGTTGGTGGGGCGAGGTGGCTCACACCTGTACTCCTAGCACTCTGGGAGGCCAAGGTAAGTAGATCTCCTGAGCGCAGGAATTCAAGACGACTCTAAACAAGAGTAAGAACTTGTCTCTATTAAAAATAGAAAAATTAGCTGACCATTGTGACTCATGCCTGTAGTCCCAGCTATTCAGGAGGCTGAGGCAGGAGGATCACTGGAGCTCAAGAGTTTGGTTCCTGTGAGGTATGATGACACCATGGACATTCTACCTAGGGTGATAAAATAAGACTCTGTCTCAAAGAAAAATTAATAAATAAAAATAAAGAAATAAATGTCTGTTGTTTGAGACAGCCAGTCTACAGCAATTCAGTTATAGATCTCAAACTGACAATGATGCCAATAGTGTAAGTTTCAGTTTGAAAAAGAGCAGGCTGGAGACCTAAGAGACAACATTTCAACTCAAGGCTAAAGACAAGAAAAGACTGATGCCCCCACTCTAGCAGTCTGACAAGAGAAATTACATTTTATGCAGCCTTTTTGTTCTATTCTGATCTTCAGTTGATGGATGAGACCCACCCTTATTAAGAAAGGAAAACTTTTTTACTCAGTCTAGCAATTTAAATGTTAATGTCACTCAACACACCCTCATCAACACACCCAGAATAATGCTTCATAATAATGCTTGACTCAATATCTGGGCAGCCCATGCCCCAGTCAAGTTGATACATGACAACAACCACCACAAACAAGGAAGCAATTGACATCAAACACCCCTTTGTCTGATTCTCAGAACAAGCTCTCCCTCTTCCTCAACTACTTCATCATTTGGATCAATTTCTATCAAATAATACTGTTTGTTTCAATCACACTGTCAGAAACTGTCTATTCAACACTTAGAAAGTGAAGTGCCCATGAACGACTCTCATGTATTACTTTATACTTAGTATAGTACTTTGTACTTAGACAGAATAGATCCTTTCCTAGTCTTCTTGGGCTGCAATAACAAAATACCACAGGCTGATACAACAGACATTTATTTCTCACCATTCTGGAAGGTGGAAGACCTAGATCAGGATGCCTGCATGGACTGGCTTGGGTGCGAGCTTTCTTCCATATCTGTGGACAGCTGCCTTCTTGTGATGTCCTCACCTGGTGGACAGAGAAATGAGCTAAGCTTTCTGGTGTCTATTCTTAGAAAGTCACAAATCCCATTGTGCAGGCCCAACTCTCATGGCTTCTAAAACTGACTGGTGTCTATTCTTAGACAGAGAGCTTGGGATGTCCTCACCTGGTGGACAGAGAAATGAGCTAAGCTTTCTGCTATCCATTCGTAGAAAGACACAAATCCCATCACGAAGGTCCAACTCTCATGGCTTCTTCTAAGACTGATTGTCTAACAAAGGCTCTACCTCCAAATGTCTCACATTGAGAGTTAAAACTGCGACATATTGATTTGGGGAGAGACACAATTCAGTCCATGAAAGATGTAAGTTGAGAAAGGCATATGAGCAGACTGGGTTTTGTGGCAGCCACTTTGCTGTCTGTGGGGAGGGATTAACCTCAGGACCAGACGTGCAGGGATTCTGTGGGGTGGAGCTGGGGATTAGGGGGAAGTCACCAACGCAGAAATATTTAGGGAAACACACAAAAAGCACTTAGCAGCCAATTAAAATGTTGATGTGTTGGAAGTACAATGGAAGTACAAACAGAACTAGGTTCATTGCATGTAGCTTTGTGTTTCACAGATACTGTTTTTTTTTATGGGTTTTAGTTGTTGTTGTTGTTTGTTTGTTTGCAAATTGAAGGTTTGTGGCAATCTTGTATAAAGTGAGTCCTTTGGGGCCATTTTTTCAACAACATGTGATCACTCATGTCTCTATGTCACATTTTGGTAATTCTCATAAAATATCAAACTTTATTATTATTATAGCATATGTCATGGTGTTCTGGGA